ACAATTACTGACTAAATGCATGGAAGAGATATTACATGGATCATGTTTGTTTAGCTTTTTTAGTGTATGCTGTGCCATATGTTTTCACTTAAGTTAAAAAAAAAACTGCAGCAACTCTCCCGTCCTCATTACACAGAGAGGATGCCAGATACTAGCTACTCTTTCTTATGAAAGCCTTTTATATTCTTTAAGCCACATGTACTGAGAAATTCTATTAATAGTCAGGTATTTCTCCAGTCTTGTTTTGTTGCCCTTCTCCAAATAACTCTTTCCTTTTGCTTTAGCTACAGAGGTAAATTTGGGGAGGAGGCCCTCTGGGATTAATAATCTCACTAACACTATAAACAATTTTTCCATTGCTTATTCATTGACGAATTTAACCCCGAAAGCAGCGCACATGCTAGAGAATGTCTGCAACAATATGGACAGCACATGCACTTTCATACTTCCATATGTTACACTGATAGAAGCACTGCTAGAAAAGGGTGCAAATAGAAAAGAAGAAATTTCAATTTCAATTAAAACAAATAATCTAAAAGTAACTTGTTTAAGAGCCTGAGATTGCTGCAGTCTCCTTCCTCTGCACAGAAAAGCTGCAAAAAGCAGGCTTGGTGGCTGCTGGGAAAGAAGAATTCCTACAAGCAAATTAGACCCTCGCAAATGGTGAAATGTGGGAGGCACTCCAACAGCCCAGTTAATGCCAGAACAATAGCCTGGGACACAGGAGGGTGCTCGGCAGCCTGAGCTGTCCCCCACAGGACATCTTGACATTTGTAGCTTTTAGAGTTCCAACTTCTTGTTATAGTTTGATCTTCTCAACAACTCTTAAGGTTAATCAATTTCATCGTGTTCCTGAATGACATCCCTCCCTTTGGCTATATACACGCTAATAAACAAATCAGCAGCAGGCACGCTGTCCTACACGAGTCCATACCATTAAAGTGTTAGCACAGTTCCCCAATGGTTTTCATCAGGGCCAACAAATGTCCTCCCCTGTAATTCTCACGCATTCATAAGGTCACAGGCTAATACAGGCCAGTGACCTTTCTTGATAGGAAGCCTGGATACAACCACCCTCTTCTGGTGGGGGGCGGGCAGGGAGTTAACCTGTTTGAACAATGAGCTCAGCTGCCTTCAGGACCAGAAGTCAGTCATTTTATTTATTAATAGAGATGGAGTCATCATTTCCAAGCACTCATGTTGGCACATCCCATTTCTAGTGTCTGTCAAGTCACATAGAAGGAGACAACACAGCTCAACATGGCAGTAACAGTCTCATTTTTTAAAGTACTGTACGTATGACACTGGCCTATTTGACAACACGGTCATTCTTCACCATTTAGAAAATCTTGATTTAGATTCTGAAAGATAACCTCATACGTTCATAGCCAGTTGAAGAAGTCACTGGGTGAAACCTAGAGCCATTGTTACACAAAAGGCTAAACTAAGTATTTGTAGTGAGCCTGGGTGGCATTAAACCCATGAGCAAATACACTCACACCTTCTCAGAAATATGACATATCTATTGCTTCCCCTGTTCTCTGCACACAGAGAAAGCAAGAGCTCCCACAAAGGGCTACAGACATCTGTGATGAATGCACTGACATCTTCAAACTGCTGTACCAGCTCAAACACTCCTGACAGTTCTCAGCTCCACTTTGGACCCAGGTTGCTGGAAATTGGGATCAATTAGGATCAGTCCTTGGTCCGTATCTTTGGTGAACGGAGGCGGAGTCAACAAGTGCAACATGTACTAAAACTCTCTGCCCACTTAAGACAGTTTAAGAAAAAGGTACAAAATTATAAACGCCTCTTCATCTATTTCTAATACCTTGTATCGGACACTCAGAGACCACTGTTCAAAATGAGCTTGCACAAGACTTCCTACTGCGTGCCTCATCTCAGAAAGTCCTGTTCATAAAGCAGTAGGGTCACCACCTGCTTATTCTTGTGCTTCTTTCTTTTAGCAGACAAGTAATCACCAAGGTAGTTAATCAACAATAGCAGCAGTTTCCAATCTAACATGAGATGTGCGTTATTCCTACTGCAATAGTCCAATTCAGAACCAGTACTATTTGGGGGAAAGTCTAAAAACTTTCATATTCAGAACCTCACCCACCTTGAGGCTTTCTACAAACAAATGCTCTTGGAGAGAGTGGAGAATTCTGGTCATAAAACCCCCTTGCATGGGCTAACAGTCAAATCAGAAAATGACCAATGGAGAAGATGAGAGAACATTCTTTCACGAAGAAAGACACTTTCTATGTTACACTGAGTATTTTTTAGAAACTGGAGATGGAAGGACTGTCTTTAAAATCAGATTCTTTTTGAAGAAAATGAAGATCCCTGACGAACTGTGTCAAAATGATCAACATACTGCTTTCTCCTTGATATGATCGCTTTTAAAGAGCGGTAGTCCTGCCCTGAAAATTTCTGAGCCATTTCTACTCTTTTACATGTAATTTATACAGACGTGTTATTTCAAATTAGTGCAGCTCAGTAGACAATGCTCCTCAAAAGCTGCTTTCCCCTGAAGATTGCAAGACTTGTTCTTGCAATCTTGGAATTGTTCTCTCTTGGACCAGTAAACACCAAGTGATGGATGAAAAAGGACTTCTTTCAGTCCTTTTCAGAGGCAAATCAAAGAAAAACTTAGCTAAGTGTCTGAAGAATAGAGAGAAACTTTAACAAGAGAAAGCAGAAATGGTGGATTAGCCTCCAAGCTGCTAAGGATCTCTTGATTTCATAACTTTAGTACTTTCAAGCTACCACAGATTAGTTTCTAGGAGTTTCTTGGAAGATGCAGTATGACTGAAAGTGAGCTCATCCTGTATCTATATTTCACACACAAAAAAACCATTTTGCACTTGGACTAGATCACAGTGACTTGAAAACACCGGGTGATATTCACGGAGTTCTCAGCAAAATCTTCCCATTACCAACCCAGCTACAGTCGGTGTCTATAATAAACACTGATGGCCTTTCCCAGTGTGATGCACGTCAGAAATCCCAGCTGATGGTGTCACAGGGCTTGCTAATGCACAGAGCAGAACTCCTGCCCCGTCTGTTTCAACACAGGCATGTCTCTCTCTACGCTTTCTCAGCCGCCCCGACTACTCTTTTTCCCATGCACATCCCAGCTCTGATAGTCTTCATCTCGCAGCAGCACGTGACTGCGCTCCACGCTGCCTGCCTGGGTCAGTTGTTTGGATATCAGTAGATTGCCCTGACTGAAAGCCCTAATGAGGTGCTGATCCCATCATCCAATCACTCAGCTGAGCCAGGAGGCATCCCGTGGGACAGCCAGAAAAGACTGATGCAAGAATTCCAAGTGATGTGTAACATGAAAGGGCGCCATTCGCATCGCTAGGACTCACAGCCTGTCAGCACAGCCATTAGAAATCCTGGGCTGCAGAGATTTATAATTCAACCCTCCCACACACAGAACTTGCTCCAGACTGAAACTTGGCACAAAATTCAGTCCCAGGAGGGCATTAAAAAAATAACCCATTCAACGGTTTCCGTCCCATGGCTTCAGCTCACAGCCATTTAAATAATGGCAATTTCTCATTTCTCTTTTTAACTGAGGAAATCCAATATAAAACACCAGATTTACATAACATTGCAGTGGTGATACAAGCTGGCAACAAACCCAGGGAGAAGGCTGCCAGAGCCGTTCCGTCATCCCCTTTTGGTGAATTTCTCCATTTGGACTCAGTTTAACGGAATGATTTTTATTAGGTCTAGCTGACATCATGTGTAATTGCAAATCCCACCTCCACGTTGGTCAGGCAGCTTGCCCTAGCTTTGTACACCTTGTGTGCCTGTTAGAAGGGGACAAGCCCTCCTGCGGTCAACACAGCCTTCCACTTGTGCTGCCACTGTTGTTTCTTTGCTGCAAACTCTGCTGGCTGATTTAGGGGACAGTAATTAGTTGCCTATTGAGCTGCAAAAGACCAACTGGACAAGGAATGGGCATACACAAAACAAAGAAGGGAATTGATGCAAGCCAAAAGAAATTTGTCAGTAGAGCCCTTGATTTGATCAGATATTGTTCTGACAATTACCACATCTGCTTCCAGGGAGAGGGACAGACCCAAGCCTATTGTGGCTGCAGTCCTTTGTCCACCAGGTATTTCAATTCCTCTGGGGGCCATCTGTAATCTTAAATTTGTCAGTGGAAAAAAAAAAATAATCTTGGACGTTGATGCAACGCTACAAGCACTTCTTAATAAATACATCAGACTTCAGGAAGTCTGCAGCAAATCACTGTTATGACCATAATCCTTCTGCTCCACCACTACTCACTCAGAGAGGCCTGTGGTGGCACATGTGGGATACAAGGAGCTTATGTCACCCGCAAAATATACCATTTGCTGGGTGGGCTACTGGCTCCCATCTCATCACCACTCTTGCTCTCCCACAGCACACCTGAGACACAGTCTTTGCTGCCACACTCCAGCTGGAGGACAGGGCATATTACAAATCATGACCAAAGGATATGAACAAATTTTTCCTATTTGTTATACAAGTCTACAAATAGCACAACTATAAAATAATTATACAACCAAAAGATTTGTATCAGTGGTCAGTCCCAAAGCTCCAATACTCAGAAAGAGGAGTCCTTCCTATTCTTTACAGAATTACCTACCTAAAGGTACTTTAAATCAGTTTGGACTCTATCTGCTGTCAGCCAAGATGTTACAGGATGCTACAGCAGTTAATGTCAAAATGCTTCTTCCAGAATGAGAGTACATCTAAATTGCCATTGCTGCACTAACTGTCACCATGTGCTAAACCATCCTCCCTAAGACAAGCCTCTGAGGTCCACTTTCCAACTGTAAAAACCATTTTGAGCTTGAGCGCTACAAGTACAATGTTCCTCTAGAACAGGAAAAAAGTTGAGACCAAGGGACGACCTGAGCTTTCAATACAGAAAAACAAGACGTGTCATCTACAGAATGACCACCTTTTCCAACAGTTGTACAGTTTTCTCATACCTTGTCCTTTAATTCCAAAGGGGGGTACAAAGTCCCTGATACGTGCCCATTTCCTGAAGGAATCATCCAAGAACATTGGTGCCGGCTTCGAGAACCTGAGAAAACCAAAATGAGAGAGAGATTAACTCCTGAACTAGGAAGGATATATTTTTGTAGGGAGGTTGAGAGAAACCATACTCAAGTGCTGATTCTACATTCTTCCACTGCAATACAGTAACGTGGAGGATTTTCCTTTTACCCAAAGGTGCTTGCAGTGGAACAAATCTGTCTGAATTTGTGCCATGAGGACACCCAAAACACTCTAGTTGTCAACCTGGCAATCACTTCCACTCAGCTATTTAGAGCTTCCACACTATTGTTTGACTTAATTTAGTGACAATAAGTTGTAAATTGCAACCAGAGTTCAGGCAGTTTTACTTCCAGCTTTGTAAGCACAAGCCAATTCATGTGCTGTCTACGTGAGCGTGTGAGGAAGGGGTGGGGAGCTGCCTGTACACTGCATGTTAGATATAAGCCTGCTGCTCTGTGCAGGTACAAATGCACTGGGCAAATCCATGTGGAGAGCAAGGCTGGGGTCATCTGCTCCCACGGCTGCTTCTGCCTCACTCATATGCCCAAACACAGCAGCTATCATAACACAGGCAAGAAAGGAAACGGTTCAGATCGTGAAGCAGCACTGAGCTTACAGAGAATGGAAATTCAGTACAGATGTAGGTGTTTTATTCTGCATTCATTAACACATAAATGATTCAAGAGAGGTCCTTGCCAAACCAAACAGTTGTGATCTATGCAAACTCATTTACAAAAGAGAGAACCAGTCCTTCTTAATCATGTCATTATGGGAATACATTATCCTAATTACACCCTCAACAGACAAACATTGCAGCTACTAAAAAATTGTCTCTTCTAGAAACAATTAGTACAGTGGAAGGAAACAATTAGCAAAATAAACTACAGAAATATTAATTTTCATATGGGACCATTTCTGAGAGCATCAAGATCACGGCTAGGAAATATGCTAGCACTATTAGAAACCTGTTCATTCAATCATATCAAAACAGCAGCAGGGATGTTCTGGACCAAAATCAATCACACTACGCTACAGAAATGAAGAAAGGAATGTACCGCATGTTCAGAGTCAGAGAGTACCTCTCCATTATTGCCTTGCTGCAAGTGCAATCACACGTATCTGAAGTAGGTACAGCCTGGCTCACCTGGGTACCGGTAGTGGGATAGATGTAACACACCGGGGTTTAACCCTCCCTTCAGGCTGTTTTTGCACTCACCATCCAACTCCATGCTACAGCAATCAGGTAACTTTTGGACTTCAACTACCTGATTTAAGATAAACTCATCCACACTATGCCACAGCCAGGTACAGAGCAACAATTTCAGACAGCACCACGGTGAGGAAAGGCTGGAATGAATTCTGAATTACAAACTGCTCAAAGTATAGTCCTATCACAGATGTCCAGGACATCAGGGTTTGCAGACATCTCTGGGAAGGGGGAAAAGGGAGATCAAGAACATTTAACATAACAAGAACAGAAGACTCAGAAGACTCCAACTCATCCACACACACACTGCTTCACATCCAGTCATGCAATCTTTACTAAGATCTTCTATAACCATAAAAGTAGGATGCACAGATTACGCAGCTGATCTAGAAGGAGAGGGATGTTTCTCCAGAGCTGAGGATACGAAAGGATCTATATAACTTTATCTGGGAAAAGGTGGGAAGATGTGTTAGATATGTTGTGGCTTCTGAAGATCTTAAGTAAAAAAAACCAAACTCACAGGCCTATTAAAAAAAAAAAAGAAAAAGAACAGGATACAATAATACTCTGAAAATATCCTAAAAGCTTCAATAACCTGACAAATTAGTTCTATGTTTTTTCAAGCGTGTTAGTGCTCTGAAGAGTAATATCACGTTACACTGGTGGCTCTCCAAGGAGTTATCACCACCTCCTTCCAACGTCAATAGGAGGAATCTTTGCAGGAATCTCATACAATGCAAGAGCTTTTATAACCTGAATGGCACTGATGTTCACAGCTCTTCCTTTACAGCCACCACTTGAACTAATAGCGGATGTCAGGTACCACAGTATGGTCCCCATTCTCCCCAAGCAGCAGCCACAGTGACAGATGATGGGGCTCACTAGCACCTTTGGGCTGGTTTGTTAGGTCACCTGGTTTGTTATATCACCAGCTACTCTGGTTGCCACTGTGACACGCAATCTTCAGGAAAATCTTCAATGCTTCAGAAAATGCGTATATGAGAGTAGGTTTTATTCTCCTTTCAGGAATCACAGCATGATTAGAGTTGGAAGGGACTCTAAAGATCATCTAGTTCCACCCCCCCTGCCATGGGCAGGGACACCTCCCACTAGACCAGGTTGCTCAAAGCCCCATCCAGCCTGACCTTGAACACCTCCAGGGATGGGGCATCCACAGCTTCTCTGGGCAACCTGTTCCAGTGTCTCACGCCCTCACAGTAACGAATTTCTTCCTAGTATCTAATCTAAATCTCCCCTCTTTCAGTTCAAAACTGTTACCCCTTGTCCTATCACTACACTCCCTGATATAGAGTCCCTTCTCACCTTTCCTGTGGGCTCCCTTCGGGAACTGGAAGGAGCTAGAAGGTCTCCCTGGAGCCTTCTCTTTTCTCGGATGAACAGCCTCAATTCTCTCAGCCTGTCCTCATAGGAGAGGTGCTCCAGCCCTCTGATTATCTTCGTGGCCTCCTCTGGACTCAGTCCAATAGGTCCATGTCCTTCTTATGTTGAGGGCCAAAGATCTGGACCAAGAGGATTCCCTACAATAATGCTACAAAGTAGTGCAGTGTAAATAAAACACTTAGCTAGTTAAGATCACTGAAGAAAAGAGAAGGTAGAGGCTGTAAGGTCAGGCTTCAGGTCAGAAGTTGGTATTATTTACGGATGCAATTAACTAGTCTATTTGCAAGTCATATACCAGGAAAAGAGAGTTTACAGTAGTCTGACATGGAATATTGGATGTCTGTCCCTAATGCAGATTCCCCCTTACAAGGGGGCTGGTAAAACCAGGAGGAAGGTCAGATCCTCCTGGGACTCCCTGGGACCCAAGGGGACTTACCAAAGGTAGCTGAAGCAGGACTCATCTGATGTTCTGTATGTCCCTTCTGCATGTAACCAAAGTGATGCTCAAAGAGAAGGGTGAAGTGACCATTGGCTTTGTTATTGTATTTGCTTGAAGTTTACTTCAAGACTTTTCTAGCAAGGAACACAATAGCCTTAGACCACCTCCTACTATTGGTAATATTTAACAACATCATACACAGAGACAGAGAAACCGACTTTTAATTCGCATTTTTGCTTCATTTAAAGAGGAAGGAGGAACAGTTTTGGGGGAAATACTATATCCATACGGGGAAAAAAGAGCAAATTAGAGGATATTTAGCTCCCATAAATCTTGAAGTTAATTCCATTTTGGAAATATTAAGAAATCCTGAATGCTGTAAGCTCATGATCTATGAGAAGTGCTTTGCCACCTCAATAAATTAGAGCAGGCCAGAGCTGATGTCCAGCAGCGACAGGGAAATGGTGTCTGCCAGACCTCTCCAGGAGCATGGCTGTTCTGTCTCGGCTCCGAACCGCGTCTGGCGTATTCTAGGACCCTTCAGGAAATATCAGGATATGCCTTAAACAGGCCATGGGAATGCTCTCTGCAGAGCACCTAAAATACATTCCAAGGAATGCGTGGGAGTTTGTCAAAGAGAAGAAGTAAATGTTTCTGAATGATGTTAAATTTTGTATCTACTGAGCAGGGATGCTGCGTTTTACCCGAGTCCTCTGCCGCTGCTGCCTCAAGGCAGGTGGGCTTCACCCACAACCACAGCTCTGAACCTGAAATAGGCTTGTGCTCTGTGGGCAAACAGCATGTAAAGTGAGAGTTTTGATTTTTTCAAGTTTGATTTTTAACCACTTCCTAGCTACCCCACCTCAAACTCCAAAACAGACATAATGCAACCTCATAGCACATGACAGCCATTAAAAAGGTGAGAAATTTGGGTGCCTGGGGCACCTGCATGATTTTGGAGAGAAATGCCAAGCATCTAAAATCACATACCCCAACAAAACAGCAAATGACATCTAATTCAACAAAATCTGGACTCAATGATCCTTAAGGTTTTTTCCAACCTAAATGATTCTATGAAATGCTGGAAATTATAATTATGAGGTACAGTCCAAATCTCTCCCCGCTCTCAAGTTTGCATTCCTTATACAAAGACATTCCTTATACAAAATCTCTAACACAATTTGTCACTGCACACAGCGAAGGGAAGTGTACTGCTAGGAAACTATTCATAAACAAGAATCTATATACACAAGAAAGTGTGATACATATTTGTGCTTAGGAGATTACAGCTTATGCCACACAAAAAAAAAAAAAAAAAAAAAAAAAATTACATTTCCAGTTATTTTCTCCCTGACAAGTAAAAAGATTCGTGACCCAAAAAATTTTTTACTTGGAAGGCTGGACCAGCCTGCCTGAAGCTCCCCAGCCAAGTTTTCTGACCATTTCCATTCTGTTCTTGATACACAGATTCTTTCAGAGCTACTCCTCTTTGATGTGTGCTGAGGTGTTCGATCAACATCAGCAGCATTAACTTCCCAAAGTACAGTGCAAATCCTAGACCAGCACCACTTCTATCAAAGCAGCTGTTGAACAACTTCAGGTGTTTAATCTTGACTAGAATCAGCTCCCTACTCCTACCTGCTGCTTTCAATGCAATTAATACATACATATGTAGAAGGGAATCAGCTACACCAGAGAGAAAGTAAAATAAATAAACCAATCAATAGTCTTTGTCTAGAACAAGGAAGGAGGAAGATAAGGCCAAGTCCCTGAAAGAGTAGAGGAGAAGATGGCACCACATTTCTAGAAACCATGACACTAAGGAAAGGCAGATTGGCAGCCACTAGGATCCACTAAGGGGTTATTTCTCAGATATTTCCTTCCCTTCTTTTTCCCCTCCTTTAAACCACCCTACCCTATTGTTGCTTCTTAGTTAGGCTCAGCAGCAAAGCAAAGCTGGAAGCTGAAGGAAAAAACA